TTCTGTTAAACACCTCTCTCTTAAGAAAGCAGGGAATGAGTATGTCATGTTATTGTTGATGCTGCTTCAGCACTGGCATTTGTGTACCTGAAGTGTGAGTGTGCACTAGGACAGAACATCTCAAAGTTTGTGCAGTCCATTTATTTTTTTTTTTTAGTACTTTATCTTTCAGAGATCTTTGCTGTAAAAGATGATGGGTTTATGAATGGAAACATTGGTATGCCATATGGAGTAGCCTGCAAGTTTCTTCCTGCATCGATTTCAGTCTTTGGAGAACTGTTTGCAGGAGCAGGCTTATGCTCTGTGCTGTCCTGTCCTGTCTGAGACTTACCAAGTTGCTAAAAAAGGGGGTTCTGTTGTGGATCTTGTTCTTGCAATAATAATTTTAATTGATATTTGTGTAAGTATGTGTATGACTTTAGTATTTGATGAATTGTACTCTTGCACGGTTTAGAAAGGGTGTGTATCATTTTCATTTTACAGCTGAGAAACTAGAAATTAGCAAATATGTGGTTATTTTCTCCTGATACTTGAAACCTAGTGCATTTATGACTGCACTGAGATTTGAAATCATTCCACCATCTTTCTAGACACATAGTACCATTTTTTAATTTTTTTTTTCTTTTTTGAGTTAACCTTAACTTTTGTTCCAGTGCAGCCAGGATTGTTTAGGAAATAGTTACATGATACTGTTAATCTCATAAGAAGATGGAAGGGTGAAGCAGATAATGAGGTAGGTAATCAGCAGTGAGATTGTGAGGGGAAAAAAATAAAAGTTATAAAAGTGGTAGAATTGCACAACGGTAATAACATATGCTCTTGAGTTTACTTCAAAAATAGAAGTTTACTTCTAGTTTCTCTAAATGGGAACTGTATACATGATAGATTTAAAAATTGCTTCTAAAAGTCCCTTTTTATTAAAAGTTTAGGATGCAGTGTTTGAATTAATTTCTAGAAAGAAAACTAAAGCACTAGAGGCCGTTTAGAAATCATCAGCACAGCACTTTTGAACAATGAAAGGTGGCAGAAACTTTGTAAGGGCAAATATGCACATGGCTTTGGCTACTGAGTCATGCATATTTCTAAGCTTTAACAGGATTAGTTTCATTCAAGCTCAGGGAAACAGGTCATATGACCATTTTCAGTACTTCTGTTTACAATACAACAGAATATGTTCTCAGCCTTTTGAATCAGAGATCTCTCCCAA